TCATCCATCCATCCATCCCTCCATTCATCATCCATCCATCAACCATCCATCCATTCATCCACACATCATCCATCCATCCATCCATCCATTCATCATCCATCCATCAACCATCCATCCATTCATCCACACATCATCCATCCATCCATCCATCCTTTCATCATCCATCTATCCATCCATCATCCATCCATCCATCCATCCACACATCATCCATCCATCCATCCATCCATCCAACCATTGTGATGGACTTGCAACCTGTCCAGGGTATACCCCGCCCCTCGCACTGTGACTGCTAGATTTGGGCACCATTGACCTTGAAAAAAGCGTGTACAGAAAATGGATGGATGGATGCAGCTCCAAACCATGCTGCTTCCACCTCCATGTTTGGCTGTGGTGATGGGKTTTTTTTTAACACAGAAGGTCAAGTTGATCCTGAAGATCTGAATTTTGGTCTAATCTGATCACAACACTTTTCCAAATYGTTTGGATGTTCTCTGTCAAACTGAGGACAGGTCTGTGTGTAGGTCTTCTGGAGCTGGACCTTCAGTCTGTTTCAGTGCAGTGTGATATCAGTGGTGTTCATGGTGACTCATATCAATACCAAGCTCCTCCTCCGTGGTTGTGGCCAAGGGCAAATATTGGTCAATACTTATACTTACCAATATTTATGTAGCTTCTCACTGACGGTCTTGCAGCTCCTGCTTTGTGCAGATCCACAGTCTGGTCCCTGATGGCCTTGGATGGCTCTTTGGTCTTACCCATGGAGAGGCTGAAACAGAAGATTCTGTGGACAGATCATGACTGATATCTGTGCACCACACAGGCACTTAATGAACCTGAAGGATTACGCAAAACTGATTTGTTCTTGAAAGGTTTCCTTTTTCAGGATTTTGGTTGATTTTCAAATTTTCTCTAAAATATAACATCTCTGATTAGACTGCTGTTTATAGCAAAACAAAAACCAATAGAAAACAGTTGGATCATGTTTCTTCTACTCTGCATTAAAGAATGAACTTATTTTTCATCTAAAACCCCCCACAAAGTTTGTTTTTTCCCCCATTTGTGACCTGGTAGAAACTCCATAAAATCCATGCTATTAGGCACAAAAATATTATTTCCTTCTGAAATTTGTCCTCGTTGTTTAATCTTTTTATTTTGGTGAAATATATAAACTTATCAGCTGAAAAAAATATTCTAGAAGTTTCTCTTATTGTAATTTAAAGCTTTGGGAGTTCAAATCATTTAAATCAAATCTGTGCAGAAAAGTGGCAACATGAAGAATCTGAGAACTAAACCTTTAATTAGTCTTTGTTCAATACTGCCTCTGTTTATACAACATTTAATCAATTAAAGTGATTTAAATTCATCCTGAACATGAATGATAACATCATTTGTGTTGGTTTCACTTTGGAGTTATGAGAAAATCAAACCACAGAACATGTGCAGTTTAAAGTTCATGAACCAGTTTTAGACTTTAAATAAATATAACTTCACAGCTTGTGAACATTTGAAACTGAGTTCTTGTCAAACTGGTTGAGCTGGAGGTTTTCATGCTCTGGTCCTTATCTTGGAAGTGAAGCTGAATTCTTTAAATATTATTGTAATGGAAGAAACACTGTAAGGAATGCTGCTTTGGTTTTGGGTTTATCTGATCAGGAACCACTAATCTGATTTTTAATGTATTTATGTGTGCTATCATTTAACGTGAAGCGTGTATTTTCACTTCAATAAAAGAGGAGATGGGAATGTTATCTACATTTTTAAAACACTTTGGAGCTGATTTATCTGGTTTGTTTGTGTAGAAAGTTGAACAATCTTCAGTACCCAAAGATTTAAGTGTAGAACAGCAGATGCAATCATTTAGTGTTTATCTTCATGAATATATAATGATTATCAGAATAAAACACTGGGAGGACCTGCAGATATAAAAATTCAGCATCACAGGGATTTATCAGAGTTCAAACTGGTTGTGCCACTGATATGTATTACTGGATTGGGCACGCACTGCAAAAACTGTCCACCTAACCAAGTTTTAAAATCTTATATCAGCCAAAAAGTCTTTTTGATCTTGTTTTCAGACTGATTTACTAAACAAGAACTGATTGTGTAAGAATAATCATCTTGTTTTCAGAATGTGTAAGATTGTTTTATTTTGACTCAAATTAAGTCGAAATATCTGCCAGTGGAGTAAGAAARTTTTAYTTGGTAAGATTCTTGAAATACTTGATTTGACTCAATTTTTTCTTAAACCGGCCTGTCTGACAATGTGACTATTTTGTTTATGATGCTCAATCATTACATTAGTGTCTGTCATTAGCGAGTCTACATCATAATTTCTGAATTAATATGCTGTCGAACTAGTCAACAATCCAATAAAGTCCATATTTACATGTTTAATATCATTAAATAACATATTTGACAACAGATAAAATCGATTTTAAATAAAGTTAAACCTGAACACTGAAGCTTTTTAATGTTAGCATTCAGGTTTTACAATTAAAACAATTAATTTTGGTTAAGTATACATAATATTTACGTGTGAAACATAACCCTTTTAGCTCTTGTAAACATGTAACAATTTCTGCAGTTTATAGCAAAAATATTTGAACCATTTGTACATTTATAAAGCGTTTGTTTGCACCGCGCTACGTTCTGCTCATTGATTTAAATGGTTAGCATTAGCATTAGCTCAATGCATAAAAAACCTCCCTTGTGAAGCCACGCCCAGGTCACGTGACACCCAATCCAGTAATATATGTCAATAGGTCGTGCTGTTTTACAGTTTATATTTAGCACGTTTGAAAGTCAGGTGACTCATCACTTATCTTTACCGCAGTGGATAAAATAAACACATACAAAACAGACAGACTGTGTAACATGACTTGTTTTGCAACAAAACAATGGAAGGCAGATTGTGTCGAAACTCAAACAGTTCCCAAAAATAAAAGAACACCTGATGTAAAAACACCAGGATTAAAGTAGAATTTGAGATGGGCATGTGTACAGTGTAGCACACATGTCAAGTTGTACAGATTGTCCATAATTTACACAGATTTTCTGTCATTTTGCAGGTTTACAAAGACCCCCCCCCCCATGTATGATTTGGCATGGAATTTTTTGCAAAAATCACAGCTTTTTTAGGCTCATTTTACAGGTAAATGTCCAAAGGGGTTGACATCCATGTCACTGTAAATAGGTTATGTTTACAGTAGATACACCACCTGGCCAAAAACTAAGTGTCCACCTGGGTTTAACTAAGGCCCATGATGTGGGGCTGCTGCAGGTGGTCAGGTCCAGGTTCAGC